TATGTATTCCGTCGTAGGCACCGTCCCCCCCCCCCTTCCTTCCCCCTGGCTCTCCTCGCTACAAAGTTGGCCGGGGAATGATCACGAAGGGGGTAGACTATTTTGTCATCATTCTTTCGCGGGATCGTATTTTTGGTCGCGACATATCCGGGAACCCCCGAGGAACCATTAGTTACAGTGATCGTCATTTTTGACTCACGAGACCTTTTGAACGGGCATGTACGAGTATGATAATGGCGCAAGGGTAGGAGAGGTGGAAGGGGGGGAGGGGACGAGTGAGAAGGTGTGGAGGTGGTTAGCGATTTTACTGCCCTCTACGAGCATTGTGATACGGAAAGAAAGTTTAAGTCGGATTTTGCTTCCGAAATTTTAAGCCAAGTAGGCAGGTACGGAGCCCACAAGCCAGCCAGCCTTGGAAGGAATAGCGCAAAGAAAAAGAAAAAATTGTTAAAGACGACTGGACAAAACGCCGCCTTGGGAACTGGAAGGTTGATAGTAAAAAAATAAAATAGGAGTCGGTTGGGAATAAAAAAAAAGATCTGTGATTAACTTATGATTGAAGCCCTCGTTACACCGTTGATTGGAGGAAAAAAAAAAGAAAGAGAAGAGAAAGAAATAGAAGAAATGGTGGGAAATGGGCGGGGGGGGGAGGCGAGAGAAAATAGGGAAAGATATGGAGGAACTGATACGAAGGGAGTAAGGAATCGGAGAGAAAGAAATGAAAAAATGACAAGATCTTCATGCAATTCGAGAAAGAAAAAGAATGGGAAAAAAACGAATGAGGAGGAGAAGAACATGGGAAGCCAGGAAAGCCGTTACAAGTTCCATATAAACCCCCCAGTCAGAAAAATGAGGGAAACAAATGAAAGCCAGTACAATCGTATAAAAGAAAGGTACAGAATGAAAAAACAAGCAGGGGAACCGTATGATATCCTACCCTATTTATACACGAAAAACTTATTAAGTGCAAGAGAGTAGAATAACTCAAATAAAGAGGGGGGACTAAGAAAAGATTCTTCGTGTAATATCTTGCAACCATTCATCGTAATCTAGTCGCAAGCGGAACATTGAAGGAAGCAAATTGCAAGACAAAACTGGTATCGCGTAACAAGGGCGCACAAACAAGATAGGGAATCCTCCACACAAAACCTACAAAAAGCCCTCCCGACTTCATGTACTCCAGCAAGATACAAAACCAATAAGAACAACATCCGGCAGAATCAAAAAGAAACAAAGAAGAAAAAGAAGACATGATACTAACTGTACGCTTGCCCAAGATAGCGCATGCACCAGAAAGCTTTGTAACGTGTATAGTCGGGATGCACTAAGATGACTAGCAGTATCGCCCGCAATAGGGAAGTTGCACAGGTACCATCGTCTTCACCGAAGGTTATGACATGTCCATAGTGTTGTATTCATCCTCCTCCTTGAACGCCATGCCATCACCGTTTTGGTTCCAAAATTGTGACTGTTGCTGGGGCGTTCCCCGAGAGGATCCCCCATTCTGAGAAGGTTTCCCACCCGAGCGCGATGGACTGACACGCGGGGACAGAACATTTCCACCGGGGCCCACCGCGTTGCCAGCGTAGTCAGTGTACCCGGGTACGCGCAAGGTGGACCCGGGTGCTCGGGAATAGTGAAAGCTTTGGACGCCATTCTTTTCGATGGCAGCGTATAATTCGGACGACATCCGCTTATCGTCCTCCGTCTGGTCGAATGGGTAGGTTCCACCTAGTCTGGCAACGAGTTCCCGTATCTCCTTCTCTTGTTCAAGTTTTGCATGAAGAGCCCACATTAGGTCTCGTGTCCAGCCGACTGCGCCGTTGAGGATATCGCCCTTGTTGGGGCCCTTGTCCTTCTCCTCGCCAGTAATTCCGGCAGAAGTAGGAACACCGCTCGCCCTTCGACCAACACCTCCAGCTAACATAGAGGTGGCACGAGGGGGGCTCCCACTAGGGCCGACCGAAGGTGACAGGGAGCCATTATTCACCAGATGCTTCCGGACCTTCTCATCTTCAAGTCGGTGCTGGGGAACTAGGTGGGAGAGCTCTTGGATGCGCTCGTTGATGTTATCCCGGCGCCTACGCTCAACCATATTGTGGCTCTCTCGGCGGCGGCGCCTCTTTGCCTCCTGAGTTTGGAAAGCAGGTCCTGCACCGACCTGGTTCTCAACTTTCGCTGGCAGCGAAGCATGCTTCCCTGACTTGAAAACGTCCGAGATTTGGGGGTGGACATGGGAGGCTCCCGGAGAAGAAAGGGGCGAATCGATATAAGAGATTTGCGAGCCCGGCGTCCCATCCCACTGACCCGAGAGGGATTTGTGATGGCGGTGGGAAGCCATATGGGAGGTCTGGATAGGCTGGGTGGGGACGGTCGATGTTTCACCACCAAGTGAAAGGGAGCCGATGCCTGGAGTCTTGGGGGTGTGTGGAGATCGTGAGTTGGGGCTTTTACGGGAGCCGTTTCTTTCCAAAACTGGTCGGCTCTTTCGCTTTCCAGTGGCCATATACTGGTCAAAGTTGGTGCCCTGGGTTGAGTCTGACCCGATAACTGGAGAGGCGTTGTATGAGGAGGGTGTATCAGCAGTTGCTCCGTTGTAGGGGTGCTGTAATTGCCGGAACTGCTGAGGGGGGTATGAATGAATAAAGGGGGATTCGGCTGGCGGGTTGTTATCAGGTGTGTGGGAGTACATCTGATCAACACTTGGGGCACCGGTAGATGTGCCGTTTTCCCCGGCTGCGTTCCTATCCCCACCCCCATCCATCTCGGGAAAGAGATGGTGCAGGGAGGAGTAGTCGTCACCATGCCCCTGCCTTTGCTCCTGGTGTTGGTCTATTCCAAACTGCCCGTTATTCTGGACATGGTGACGCTCGTCCAGGTTGCCAAGGGCAAGCAGGTCCTCATCATCGACAGCCCCACCACTACTCATATATCCCACATTACTATTATTTCCAGACGAATAGTTAGGATATGACTCCATAAAACCTCCATTCTGTTGTATCGGCATCGATGGAGACATGGTCAACTCTGACGGGTCGATGCTGCCATCGCCCCCATTATAATTTGGCTCATTGAAGCCACCCTGGTGGAACTGCTGGTGACCGGGCATGCTATATGCATCCGGGTGGTGGTGGTGGTAGGGAGCTTGATGCAAGAACCTGCCAGACTCGTCTTGGGGTTCGTTTTTAATGAAAGGAGCTGGCGAGTTGGGCACATTTCCGCTGCCCATTGCGCTATGCGAGGAGTTTGAGTTGTAAGCCTGCATGCCGCTGGCCATGTGCGGGATGTCGACTCTTAAGTCTGTCGCAGTGTTCTTCTTGAAAGTGGACGAACCAGGAAAGGGCACTGCAACGGGGGGTTGCTTGTTAGCCTTGCCCGTACATTGACTCAACTCTAGGCAACGTATGAATAGAAAAGTGGCTGTATCTCGAGCCGGAATGAAAGGGAACGGAAGGGGGCGGGATAAAATGGAATGAAAAAAATAAAAAAGAGATAGCGGTAGATTTGTGGAGTGCATGAGGCGTGGGAGGTGAGATGTAGCGGATACAGTGATACTTACTTGTGGCCGGCATAGTGAGCCACGTTTTCCGACCTTAATACTTGGTACCCCAAGGGGCAATATTTCGATGCTAGAGGTCTCTTGTATCCACTTATCAACCTCTGACGATATCCGTGCCACTCTCAGGAACAGTGAAACAACCTCTAGTTCGATGCCGTATCGTGCTTTAATTTTAGCTTTCTTTGCTCCAACTGTTGCCTCGGTGACCGGAACCTGGGTATGTACTGAACAACGGGATCCGATACCCAATGCTTGGTGGGATGGTAACCAATTTCGGAGACTGCGAGAGTCACGAAGAGAAAGATGTTGAAGTAGGAGTGGATTCGTGCGTCTTTGTGCGTTGTCAAGAGAAGCAGCGGAATTGGGATGTAGGCCGACTTTAATAGCTCGCCAGGTGACTGCCGACAGGATAGCTTTTCAGACAGGTGACAAAGTGCAGATCAGCGAAGTCGGGAGGCCCAGGGCTACGAAGATGTCGAGGGAATGGAGAAGGGTGAGTCTACAAGAAGGATGGGGAAGAAGGGGGGGGGGTGCGTGTGGCCGAGTTGTTGAAATTATTATTTTTCGTTCTCGAGAGTAAGACCAGAGGATGCTGTGTGGTGGCGTGTATGGGAGCAAAGATGGAGGGGGGGGAGCTGTAAATGTAGAGGAGGGGAGGGGCAACAGGGGGGTGTACAGTACTGCAGTGGTGGGAAGGGGGGGGGGGCAGAGGATGGTTTAGGGAAAGGGAAACGTGTGCTAGGCAACGAATTGGCTAGCAGGAAAATGGTTCGGGAAAAGACACCACCAAGCTAGCGGTACGGGACTGTCGCTAGAAAAAGCTGGCCGCCCGTTCTAGAAAGAAGGATGGCGGGTACTGTACCGATTTCGTGTTTGTAGGGGTACAGTACCGTACAGTGGAGGAGGGAAATAATGCAGGATTACGACGGACGGGAAGCGTGCGATTTGAGAAGGGAACAACCAGACCCAGGTTGCAGGCGGTTACCAGCAAAGGGGAAAGGAAGGGGAAAAGGCAGAGGAAAGGGAAGAAAAAAAAAAAAGTGTGGTTCTCTGGCTGCTGACGCAGCGGCGAGCCTCTCGCGCACACCAAGGGGGCGGCGGGCAACGCTTGAGGTGACAGGAAGAGATATTGAAAGCGATAAAGCTGTCCGGGATGGAGGCAACGACGTAACCCAGTGCGTGGACGGGGAGGACAGTCAGGAGAGTGTACGGTATGGTACCTGTAAGGTATGGAGGTACCGGCCGGTATGTACGAGGTACGGTAGGTGGGTAGGGTGGGTAAGTACCGGTAGAGGGTAGGGGGGAGAGAGATTGAGGGCTGAAGTTTTGACTGGACCGGAGAAATTATGCACGTCGCTGCTCCTCGATCTCGTCCTGCGTCTTTCTGCTAGACTTGCTTCTGCTTCTGCTTCGCTTCTGCTTTGCTTCCGCTTCTGGTCCTGAAGGGTGAGGAGAGTGATGATGTAGGGGGAGACAACGGCGGTGGCGGTAACCGGGGGAGGGAGAAGAGGAAGTCTGTACTGTAATGTATGCATTGAACGAATGAGTATACCATACACAGCTTTGTTCGCGAAGTTGCTACCTCTCTAACATGGGAACATTTCTCGGAGGTGCGTTGAAAGGCTTAACAGAAAACTAAGTATGGTACCTACAAACTCTGCAGCGGCGACTGCGGCGGCGACTGCGGCTCCGAGCTCCAAAGAGAGGGGGAGGATCTGATTTGCGGGAAACCGTTCCAACGGAGCGGCTTCGAAAAAATGAATAGGCAAAGGGAATTGAAAACAGGAGAAAGCGTATCGCAAGAAATAAAAATTAAAAAATCAAAAGAAATAAGTACCCTTGTTCACGGCACTGCGCGGTGAAAATACAGCTGGGAGGTTGGCAAACGGTGGGAATATGTAACAAAAATTGCCCGGATGGAAGTTGCGAGAGACACACTGGCACTGTAGCGGTAATGCACCCGGAATAAAGGGGAGGGGGAATGGCACAAATTTTGGTGGTGAATGGCGGGGGGGTGGGCGAGAGGGGGGTAGAAGTAAGTAACGGCTACACGGCGGCGATCAACTTTGATGGAGATGGACGGGATGAAGAGGACTGCAAGCTGGTTGGAAGTGGGGTGGAGGAGAAAGGGATGAGGATGATGAGGACGATGAGGGGGAGGGGGGAAAGGGAGGAGGACAGGGCCGACTGGAGATGACTGCTGCTTCTCCCACCCTCTTTGGCTGGCCGAAAGAGGCCAGGGTTTCAACAGTACTCGTAACCTCACGATGTCTACCCATCCCACACCCAATTTTCCACCGCTCCACTCGCTCCTTGTAAACGGAGGTGGATAGGCGGTGCGTACCCCTGTAATCTACAGAAACAGACCGCCACCGATACCTAACCGGCATGTACAAGTACGGATTCCTATCTGGCTGGGCCCTCCATCCATCGCCCAACGCGGGGGCCCTCTCGAGCACCACCAATAAATTCGAAAACGTCATTTGGGGAAGGGAATTTGCGGTGTAAGCAAGGCCCGATTTCTTTCCCTTCGCTGATCCACACGATAAACCTCTCTACACAATCGAAAAATAAGGATGAATGTAACTTTGAGATGGGGATAAAAATAAAATGGTGGTAAGTTGTCCTCTTCGGGACAAGAAGTGCCTTCCCATTGTGAATCCTTGGCGTTCTGCCCAGGCCAAATGGGCTTGGGCCGATGCAGTTTAGCGGCTTTCTCCACGCTCCCCTCCACCCTTCTCCTCACTGGAGCTGCTCCCAAAACACTTTTTCCTCCCCCCCTCCCAAGAAAGCCAGTACAGCACGGCGAAACGATACCAGTCGAAGCTCCACCGCAACTCATCCTCCGCTACTTGCCACCAAGGACTGTTCCAAACATTACTTGCCTCAGCCACACACCTACGGTATTCACAAGCATCTACCTTCTCATCGGTGTTGCATCCTTCATCGGTTCAAGAATAATATCCATTTTTTCGTCAGATAAATAACTAAGAGGGAGAAAGAAAGGGATAGAGGGAGGGAGAGGATATCGAAAAGGGAGAGGGAGGAAATAGGGAAAAGGGAGGAGGGCGCATGAGCACTTCTAACGCACACCAGGTTCAGTAAACAACCCGGTTTGGGAGTTTCTCTCGCCGAACTCTCCACCAGCTTCCGGGCCCAGCAGCTCATTCTTCGAGGAAGTCATCCACACACCTTGAGCACCTCCCATACTTATCTCTCCTCCGTCCCTTCCAGCTTTGTCGTCATGGCCGCTGAATCCTTCCGAGCGCAAATGAACTCTATGGGGTGGTCGAGGAGGGATGAACCCGCTAATACGTCCGCTCCATCTCCCTTCATGAACAAACTATCATCCCTGAATCCTTTTGGTAACGGGGGGTATGTCCGGCTTCCTACGAGCAACTCCGATCCCCCTCCGCAGCTTCCAGCCCAAACCCGCCAAGAGGAGGATGCAGGATGGTTGGCATGTGAGTCTCATTCCCCATTGATTTCATCTTCCTATCCTACCTCTCCCCCCTACCATTGCTAGATGTGGCTCATCTGGAGGGAGATGGTGGCGGTGTTGTCCACCCCTGCCCCCCTCCGGTGGGACATTGAGGTATCGATGCTCCAGTGCCGTGAGATAAAACCCGATTTTCTGCATCCACCGGGGTGTATCAAAGAGGAAAAACGAGACAAAAAAACTAGTCCGTCTACGCGGAAGAACCCTCGCTGACCTGGATCCTCTCCTTCCGAGCGAATCATATAGTGAGCCGATGGGATCGTCTATTGGTGTTTGCGGCTTGCAATCTTGGAGCTGCAGCCTGCTTTGTTGTCTGCTTTTTCCTGTTCCCCATACTTGCGACAAAACCCAGGAAATTCGCCGTGCTGTGAGTGGCGTCGATCCCTTCCGCAAACCACATGGTCGTCCGATAGTATGTTCAACTACTAACTGGGTGTATCAGCTGGACCGTGGGATCGATACTGTTCCTGACATCCTTCGCGGTTCTCCAGGGGCCGCTCGCATACGCGACGCACCTTCTTTCGACTCCAAGGTTGCCCTTCACTGCCGCATATTTTGGGAGCATAGCTCTGACCCTGTATTTTGCACTCGGGGTATGTCTGAACCCTCCTTTACAGTTTGTTTCTCCATACGCCTCTGAGAGTTTCGCATGGCCTTGTCACTTGGTCTACTATTGTTCCCGTGAGGTATTCTATGATGAAAGAGGATGTTAATGATTCGGGGGCTAGGTACAATCACTTTTCCTCACTCTGATCTCCTCGATAATCCAGCTCGTGGCTTTGGTGTGGTACCTCATATCGTATTTCCCTATGGGATCATCAGGTATACTTTGCCACCTCTGCACCGGGCAAAAAGAAAAGTTGCTTGCCGGGAAAGAAGCATGTTCTAACACATACCCGCACTGCATAGGCTTGAGATTCGCGAGCCAACTGGGGGCTAGACGAGCTGCAGCATGGATGCAAGGCTAAAGCTCGAAAGGCTCAGATCATTTGTCGTGCGAATGGAAAACGAAATCCCACAGACATTATAAGACATCTATCATACCGGTACGGTACTTGTTCACATGGTGGATATTGGGAAGGAAAAAGAAAAGAAAAGAACAGAAAAGAAAAAAATAGAAAAAAGTACCTACCTCATGAACCGCAGGGGGATTTTGAGACCCTTTCTTTGCCTAGCTCTGAAATAGTAGTAATAATGAACAGGGTTTATTTGATATATTAAGAAGTATCTTTTGCATATTTACCCCTCCGGGATGTTGTCTTTTGGGCGGGGAGGTGTCCAAGTACCATAGAAGCGATGAGGCATCGAGGAGGGGGGGGGGGGCGGAAAAGCGGACCAATGGAGGAGAGATGTGGAGGGGGTACAGCATAGTACCTATACCGTACAGCAGCATCCGGCACTCGAGTATGGTAGTAGCTAGTACCGTACAAGTACTCATAGCAGAGTAAAAGCCTACCGGTGAGGCGGTGTCACCAGGGAGGGAGGCCATAACGCACGAAAAAGCGGTTGGCGTACCGTATGGTAACAGGTCTCTTTTTTCCTCCCTCCTCGGTTGATTGGTGTCCGCATACATCATCGTGCCTCAAAAAGATGCAAGTCCAGGTACCCCCCCGTATTTCCTGAAATCCAATGAAAAGGACGTACCGGTATTCCACTTTGCTATGATACGCTGCGATATATCCCTTGTTTTCTTCTTTCCTTTTTTTCCTTTTTCCCTTCGAGCGAGAAGAGGATCCTTCCTACTGCACCCCACGGTAAAAAGGCATAATACAGTACCGTCCTTGCTTGCATGGGACGATATCACACAATACAAAATACTAGAACCAGACCCACAACCCCACCACAGATCCGTCTATCCGTCTATCTATCCGTCAAGAACGACGGCCAGAAACCCGATGTCAAAAAAACAAAAAAACTCGAAATCCGAAATCTCGGAATTCCCAACCCCCCCCTTCTTCGCCCCCTGCCCCGCCTCGCTTCGTTTGGGGCGGGCTATTGGGATACGGTACGGTACTGTACGAGTACTCGTACTGGCACCCATCCACCACCACCGCCAACCCACGCATAGAGTACGAGTACAGTACGAGTACGGTAGGTGGCTAGGTAGTAGTCTATAGGTTTCCGATAAGTTACCGGTAGTCCAGTCCTGAACCCGACCAAACGGGAAACCTCGCTCTCTCCGGCGATGTGGGGAGTTGGGGGGTTGTGTGGGTTAGTAACTACCTGTAGCACCCGTAGTACAAGTGCGGCACCCGGTACGGCAGGGAGTGGTTATTTGGGATACCGTAGAGTAAAGGTGGGGGTGGATGGATGGATGGATGGATGGGGAGAGAATTCGTGGGGACATGGAGGCTGAGGCGATCTCCTGTTTCGATTAGATGAGTACCGTAGGGGAGTTTTCTATCATAGCTATTCTACATTATATCATATCGTACTCGTAGAAATCTGCTAATCACTGTAGGCAGTTCAGTCGTTCAGTCACTCAGTCCACTTTCGGTAGTGGAGAGATTCGTGGATGGTGATTTGGGAGTTGCGGGTGTTAACACTGCGGACGAGGAGGACGAGGACCATCGTGGCTACATAAGCAGTTTACATACCGTATCTATAATACCGTATGATAGTCCATATTGTTATGCAAGGGAAATTTCCACGAGTACTGTACAGCACTGGTACATGGGAAGGCATGAGGATTATTCGTTCGAATGTGCGATGCTGGTGGGTTATGATAGTATAACAAGTCTCTCCTAAGTTACCGGTACAGTACCGGTACCGTATACAGTACTCGAGTACGTCCATCCATCTAGACCCCATTCTTACGATACGCTGTAAAATACACAATTTAGCACTCGCATCTCCCAGAGCCGCGGTACGTCATATCATATCATATCATATCACACCCACCCCGCCTTCTCCAGAATGATCCGCAGGTTGCGCTCTACGAGTACGGTATCATACCGTAACATGACCCTGTCCATAATACTGCATCGTATTCACAGTCTACGAGTTACAGTGCTCTCCGTACTCTCTGTACTCTCTCAGTACAGTACTGTACAGTTGCAGAGGACTCAAAGAACTCCCGATTGGCCACCTACACCTCTTCTTGCAAATTATTCGGGTCTTCCAGCAAGCGCCCGGCCAACCAACCAACCAGCCAACCAGCAACTTAGGGTAATTGTTGGAACGTCCCAAAAGCAAATTCGTTGTACGTACTGTACTCTCCAGACTCACCGGTGATTGAATGGGTGAGGCGAACGGGTGTTGATTCTTGGCTCGGAGGAATGGAGTATGCATGTCGAGAAGGCTTTTTTTTCTTTTTTTTCTTTTTTCTTCCTTTTCTTCTTCTTCCTCCCACTCTTTTCCTCTAACTATTCTCCAATTTTTTGGTTCCTGTTTTGTCTTAATAGGACCGTATGTACCAATAGTGTACTGTAGGGTAGGTATGTGATACGATGTTGATGTCAACTGCTGCAACGTTACATTACCAGTATCATAGGTTGCCTTCTTTTTTTTCTTTTTTTTTCTTTTTTTTTTCTTCCCCCTTCCCTACGAGACGAGTGCAGTACCGGTACCGTGAGTTAGTCCCCAATTAAGGTTTTCGCATTTGACGTTTGTTTACCAAACTAACTAAGTTAACTCTACATTGCATGACTGCCGTCATGTCGTGTCATAGATTTGTCAGTTTTCTGGGCTGGCCAGACCCCGGCTCGTCCTGGTTTGTTCCATTCTGTCCGGACTTGGCGGTCATGATAATTTACTTATGTCACAATCTAGAGCATGATATGATAAGTTAACCGCATGATGGTCCGTTGACGGATAGTGATTGACGAAAAACGTTTTTTCTCGTGGACTGCTGTGGTGGTGGTGGTGTGTAAGTACTTGTAATGATGGTAGTTGGAGTTGGTAGTAATACCATCAGAGCAAGTACTCGTACAGTACCACGCAGTCTATCCCCCATCCAGCGGATCCCCCACTTTCCCCCACTCCCCCCCCCTCCCTCCACCCTGTCAAGTCAGGACGATCTGTAACGAGGATCTTACCATCTTGCCTCCCATGCGAACTGGTCAAACCACGCTCGCCACGCTGTGCTACCTGGGGTAGGGCTAGGGTTCTCTCGCCAATTTGACTCTACGTCTAGACAGGACCGGGTGGAGGATGGTCTTGGCGGGGGGAGGTTTTTGGACCCGTCGGTATGGCATCTACCGGCACAGGTCTATGTGCCGGTATGGCTACCGGTATCACACCTTGTTCTCATGGATGGATCGATGGATGGGTGGGATGGGATGGATCGCAGCTGGGGCTTTTTGTTTTTGTTTATCTCGTTCTGTCAGGGTGCTGCTGCATTTGATCATCGCCCTTCCCCCTTTGGATACGAGGAGGAGCGTTTTTGGAGCGTGCGGGGATGGGGTGGGGGTTACTTTGCTTGGTGGGGGAGGGGTGGAAAGAACAGATATGCGGGGAAGCTGCTTCTGGATCCGATGCTTATTCTTCGATTCGTCCACTGATTGGGGTTATTGCATGGTGGGAAGTTTTTCTCTCCTCTTTTTTCCCTTTTTCACACAACTAGCTTTCAGTGAGGCCCGCCCGTGGTGATGACGCATGGAAGGGAAGGAAAGTACTGTGCCGGTACTCGTACAACTACCGGTATTTTTCGCCTTTTTTTAATTTTTTATTCCTTCATTTCTACCGTAATTCCTGTTCCTTTTTCTTTTCCCCCTCTCTTTCTGGCAGGGGCTGCGTTTCGCGGAGTTAGTTTGGTTTGGTTGTTCAACCTATCCTCCCCCCTGCTCCCCGCTTTGGAATCGCTTTTGCGGTTTTTGTGATAGGGATGGGAAGAGATTGAAGGGTTGGTGATATGAAAGGTAGGAAATCATCCATGTGATGGACTACTGGGTTTGGAAATGTAGATTACCGGTATCTCTGAGCTGGTCTGGTATCATGCCTTCAAATTCGTAGCGAGGCACGCTAAGCCTGTCCTGGAAATAAACGAGCTTTGTGATTTGCTGAGAATATTTGAACCCGTCAGGAGTGCTGAGTCATTTAAGGACAGGAGGGACCGAAAACCCGATTACCGGCCAAGTCCGGCCAACTATTGCTACATCTGGCCTTAGCGCCCCTGGCTCCGGATTTGACCGTTTCAGACTGACCAAGGGATACAGTAACTGTTGCGAAGAGATCAAAGTGAATGTTGCATGTAACTTACCGTGCTGTACCGTACTGTACTCCAGACTCGTACAGCAAAGACTCGTGCTGGACATGGTTATGTCCTGACCTGTTACCCATCGTTGCGATCGGTTCCCGTGCTTGCCGAAGTACGGAGTCGGTACGATGGGGCGGCCTTTTTTTTCTTTTCTTTCCTCGCTCACCGGTTTGGCTCTCCACATTTCAACCAATAGAGTGGCTTGTCGATATGTATGAGGTACGGTGGAATTCCGCACAAGTCCAGTACAGTAGGTACGTATCTAGGAGGGGGAAGAAAGTATCGCGGGATGAGGCATGCCATGACAGGGGGACTTTTTTTTGTGCAGGGCGTAATTGGCTCTTCGGAGGAGGGGCGGTACGGATAGCCGCGCTTGGGCGGGGGAAGGAAGGAAGGAAGGAAGGGCGGATGGATGGTGGATGGATGGTTGTGATGGGCATTGGATGAGGGGTGCCGAGTGCTAGCGTTGAAAAGGGCTCAATGGGGGAGTGTGTGAGTGTGGGCTAGAAGAGGGAGGGATCGGGAAGGATTGATTGATTATTTGACTTGAAGGCTGAAAGTGAGAAGTGAGTGAGATTTAGATCAGATACGGTACTGACATGCACGGTAAATTGGTGTGAAGGAGGGACGGATACCGGTGTGAGTGATGCTGTGCAAAGATTCGTCAAATGCATGGCACTTTTCCAGACTCTCTTTCCCACACTCGAATTCACACGCTCGCGAGTATATTGAACGGATAAGGTCAATTTAGCAAACTATTCGATCTATGGTGTTTGCGAGTGACTTTGACTTATATTCACTCATTGTTACATCTGTCAAGGATTGTTTTCCATGTGTTGCACACAGCGACCGTGTCGTGTTTGGTGGGGTTCATCTCTCCATCTTACTCACTTTCTTGACAATGGCGGTCTGTAACGTTGGGCGAGAGCTTACCGTGCCGAATCTGAGGGCAGGGAGAAGAAGGAAGGGAGGAGAAAGAAAAAAAAAACATTCGTTTTTTTGCCCGCAATTCAACCCCTCATTTTGCCCCACAGAGCCTCAATTTGACTTCCTTTTGAGCACAATTTTCTCTATTCGTTTTCCTTTTCACTCGCACCTCTACCCCCCCCCCCCATCTCTTACCCTTTGTTTCCACCCTCTGGGACACCTTAGGGCACACTATCTCACTCTGCTCGTCCCCTTTCTGCGGGACTGTCCTGTGTTTTGTGCCCCATCCTACACTTCCGTAAAACCACCACTATTCACCACTCTTTTCCTCATTACCGTCCATCAAACAGCGTCCTCCCCCCCCACCCCGCCTCGATCCCCACCCCACTGCGAAGCGTTCCTCAAGGTTGCTTGCACCGTTCTGCTGCTTTCGGCAGAAACCGTTTGCTACAAGTTCGCTGTTTGATTCTCCCGACACCTCCCCTCCCCCTTCCAATCACTAGGACTATTTCCACCCTTTTCAGCTTTTCCTTAAAGTTTCTTCTCACTGAACCAAAGCAGTCACGATCACTCCAATCCTTCCTTCCTTCAATCTTTTTTCCTTCTCTTTTCTCTTTTTAACCTCTGCGAGCCCAGGGACCAAGCGAAAAAAAATAAAGGTGTAGAGAGAGGAATAAGTCTGTTCCTACGACTTATTCTCTCGCATAGAAAACTTGCACTCCAATCACAAAATTACAAATTTTTTTTTGTGTGTGTTTGATCAGGTACGAGCCTTATTTGTGAAGAGTCTGAATTCGTTCGTTTTCTTCTCTATTGTTTCGATGCGTGTTTGCCCGGTCTGCTTCCGCGGTCCGGGGGGATTTTCTTATTTTTTTCCCCTTTCCCCTCCCTCATTTCTATTTTCTCCCTCTTGTGATTTTTTTTTTCCTTTTAGGGCTTTTTCTTCGCCTATAAGTTGTTATTGCTGACCCATCGTCGTCATTCTTAACCTCCAGCTCACAGACATCGGTGACTCTCCAGCAATCCGCCAGAAATTTCTTTGCGGCCGAAGGTTTTTTCTATCCGTTCAGGAAACAAAAGCTCCTTCGACCCTCTTCCCACTCAACTCTGTCGCTTTCGCCTCTTCCTACCTTCCCTTCCCTTCCTTCCGATAGCGATTCGATTCGGTTCGGACCACGGTCAACCTCGGCTCGCTATTGTTTGCCCGACCTTACCTCCTGCATCTCACCGAACGGATCCCCGTTCTGTCCCAATTCTTGACGGCAGTCTACGCTTCCGTTTCTCCTGGGTGGGAGCCTCGCTTTTCCTCTTAGTCAACGCTTTCGTCGACCGGCCGTTCAGGTATCTTACCTGGGTTACTTGTACTCGTTCAATACCTACCCTACCCTGCCTTGCCTGTCGGTAAAAAAAATAAATAAGGGGATCAACAAACCAGCGCTGTCTTACGCTTCCGCCTTTCCACGAGTTTCCGGACGAACCTATTGGGAGAATAGTATCCCCTACAGGTCCTGGGCGGCTTAAGAAGGCATCTATTTTCCGCCCTGCTCGCTCTCTTTGTGAGAGTTTCTGCAACGGTCAAGGACTTGATTGCCCCCCGCCATCCTTTTTTCTCTTCTGAAAGCCGGTTTTGTCGTCCCTGTGCTATTGCCACCTTGTTGACGGCTCAGTCTTTGAAAGCCTCACCAAGTACGGCAACTTCTGATCCTCTCCCTTATATTCCGTGGGAATTTGTGTTTGGTGATAATATCCTTTCGCATCATTCCCATTGAATTCTTGTGACAGAGGTACAACTTTCTCTTCCGTAAAGCGTTCTCCGTGCCATGACTACGTCTGGAAGCAGACCATCGAGTTCCACGGAGAATACATTCTCCTACGCCGCTGCGGCTTCTGGAAAAAACTCTACCGGTCCGGCAACTAGACCGCAATCTGCTACTTCGAAAAATCATACCGTTTCTTCCAACGGTTCCGCGGGCACACAATATCCTGTATCGGCTTCGTCACCAACAGCGCACAACATGAACGGCGGTACCGCTCCGACGACAAGGACTTCTACCCCCCACTCAGTTGCAGTGCCGGATCCCCATGCCAAGCGAAATTCGGATATGAGTGTCACCGCCCCCGCCACCCCGATTTCATCGCCTGGCCTCGGAGCTTTGTCAGCTGTTGTGCCCAAGGAGGATGATGCTCTGTCGACTATATTGGCCGTGCCGGAAGACAAAGCAAACGCTTGGGAGAAACAGTCCCAGACTTCTAGCCATGCGGACAACAAGTCTAGCTCTGGAAGTAGAACGCCAGATGTTCACAGGGGCGGTGATCTTATCCCCGCCTCTATTCCTCCGGTAAATCCCTGGAAGGTAAGATCTGAGGGTATCGGCAGAAAAACCCCTGCCCCGGCCCCGGCAATCCCCGCACTCCCGAAGTCTATGGCAAGCCCTAACACTGCCTCCACGAAGGTCAGTGGTGAGAGGTCGGCCGAGCGGGGAGCAGTCGCCGGAAAGGAAGGTTTGGCAGATGTCCCGTCTGAGGTTCAGGATAAAGGGAAGGGTGAAGAGCTATCGAGCACGACTGGGGACTGGAAGGACGCCCATGCAAAGGAGCGTAGGAAGGGTGGAGAGGCTACTAAGGTTAATGGTTTTGTTGGAATTGATGGTATGAATCTATTGTCGTCCGTACGATCTTTGTCGACCAATGATCCACTAACTTGCACCGATCTTGTAGGTGGGGTTCCGAGAAAATCAGGGAAGAAGGGTCAACAAGAGAAAGAGCCGATCGGTCCCGCTCTTCCTCCTCCAGTAACCGATACAGAATCTTGGCCGACACCGGAGACTGCCCAGGATGAGGCGGAGAAGTACAAGAAGGAGAGAACTGATAAAGACAAGTCCAGTCCATCTGTGGCCCGAGGGAACAAGGTTTGGGTTCCAGCGGCTGAGTTGGTTCCGGAATACGCATCGTCATACAAATCACCTCGTGGGGGCAGAGGCAATCGTTCAGCTCGCGAGGGTGGTGGTAGGGGAGGCGGGGTTTCTTATCAGACTGGGGAGAGGGGTGCCTATGTGTCTGGGTCGGGGCCTGGGGCTGGGTCTGAAAATGAGCGCGGCCGTCAAGGCGTAGGTGCGAGCGCAGTTCGTGGTGGCTATCAGAGCGGGAAAGGTGGCAAACGGGCTACAAGTGCTGGTGGAACCCCCCAACGCCGTGATTCCAAGGCTGCATTGCCAGTTCCTACTAGCGAGAGAAAAAGAGAGCCTGCGAAAGATGGTACCGACCCCGATTCCGGTCCTGGCCAATCTGTAAAGCCTTCGGTGGCGCAGGGTGATGGGCAACCTGGTGGCCCAGGGGCCAAGGCAGCAGATCAGGTAGGAAGCACTCTACAGGGAGAATCTCGCCAGCCCAACGAGGGCCAGGACCGCAATTACCAAAATGGCCAGAACTTCCATCACAACTCGGAACGTGTGCCTTATCGGTCCTTCCATAATAGATCCGACCACACGGCTGCTGAAGGAGGTTCTTCACATCCCCCGCGCGACAGGGGAATGGAACCCCGTGGGCGTGGTGGCTATAGGGGGCGGAACGGAAATTTCTATGGTTCGCAATATTCAAATAATCACCACAGCGGTGGTCATCAGGCCGGTTCCGGCTCTTATAACTCTACATCTCAGCACTTCCACCCGGGCCATACCAATGGCCAGTATTCGTCTCAGAACCCACAGGCATCGGGTAGATCATACAGGGGTTCCTCGAGAGCGCAATCACTGCCAAACCCGGCAGTATACAACAGGTTTCCCAATCCTCATATGCAATCGCCACCATTTATGCCTTTCCAGATACCCTATGGGTATGAAATGGTGCCGCCGGGCGAGGCTCCAATGGTGGGCATTGCGTTCCCCCCGCTATCGGAAATCACCAATCAGATGTAAGCTTTGCGCCTGAGCCCACGCCCTGAGTTTTGTTTAATGCTGACTTTGGTAAAAGCAATTACTACTTTTCGGTTGACAATCTTTGCAAGGATATGTATCTGCGAAAACATATGGATAACGATGGCTATGTTGCGCTGTCGTTCATTGCGAAATTTAACCGAGTTAGAAGCTTGACGCAAGATGTCAATATCCTTAGAGATGCATGTATGCAGTCTCAGGATTTGTATCTTGTGCCTGGTCCTGACGATTGGTATCTCCGCAAGGCTGAAGGATGGGACAAGTGGATTTTGGCCGAGGAGGAGCGTGAACCATCTGCTCGCGGATCGCGTGTATGGCCCGACCCAAGGATACTCGGTTTACAGAATGGTGTACCAGGTGAAATGTCAGGCTCTGCACCGCCCTTCAACCCTGATCCTAGGAGGAACAGGTCTATGGGTACTATAGCCGTTATTGCCCCTTCGTTTATTCCATCTGGAGGGGTCTATCCCCAATCTGCAGGTGGCATGGCAAGCTATGGGACTCCATTGTCGGCTGAAGTTCCGGAGTTCTCGCCATCTTTCGCAAATGTGAACGGATTATCCCATGCCTTTGTGCCACAACACGTGGACCAGGAGTTTCCCGATTCCGATGTTGACCAATTGATCATTGTTGTCAAGCGACCTGCCGGAGAAAGTAAACCGTCTTCACCCGACGCTTCTCCTTCCAAGTCTCGCTCGAATGGCATTGCGTCACCAACGCTTGCTAATGGCGACATCTCTGGGTATGCATTTCCATGCCCTCTAGTGATCAATGCGCAGTGCTTACCTGGTATAAGGCATGATTCTAGCATGGTATCTCCGTCCAGCGCAGTTTTCCCTGGAAACTCGGGCGACAGATCTATGAATGCTCAAGGCGATGTTGGCTGGCTGCTATCACAAGACGCTCAAGGGAGCGCGGAAACTCCCAATACGCCTCCTAAAAAGCTTGTCCATAGGTCTTATGGTCAATTCCTCTCTCAGGTTGTCAGCCAGAGGAAAGAGAGCGCCAAGCCTACTAAGAATAGCGACATGCTCACCCTGTACCGTTTCTGGTCCCACTTTCTCCCTCAAAAATTTAATGGGAGGATGTATAATGATTTTAGGAAATATGCTTTGGAGGACGCCAACCATTTCTTGCGGTCGGGCTTGGAGAATCTTTTCAATTTCTACGAATCTTCCTTTAATTATCGGGAGAGCCTTTGCGATAGCTTAGTCCATGACTTCGTTCAATTGGCGAGGATCGATGGCAAGAATGGATTTGAGTACGGGCCTCAGAAACTTAAGGCTGTATTGGGGAATGATAACCTGAGGTTGCATCATAGGCAGAGCATTGAGGGGCTTTTAGATGCAGAGGTGAATGGCTTTCTTGAGGGTGGAATTGAGGGGAAGGACGGGCAGCTACTGGAGCTGTATACTGCGGTATGATTTCTTTGAAGGGTTTTATATGGTTCCTGCAACTAATTTCGGCACATCAGACATTTACGGTCTAGCTGCATCGTGGAAGGGAAGCCATTCCGACCGCGACATGAAGTTATTCCGTGCGACAGACAGCGTTACTTGGTGGCTGATATGAAATACATGAAATTCCTTGGATGGAGAAAAAAATAATGTTGTCAGCTGGCATTTGTTCCAATAAAAAACCGCAAATTCGGCGTCTTGTTTTCCTTCTCGTTTTCTTGGCTATGGATCATGTCCCTCTTTTTACTTATTTTCCGTCTTCTCTCGCGATACTTAGCTATCCATTGTTATCACTTTCAAGTTCAGCGAACCTAGATATTTCTACTCTTTTTACTCCGCTTTTTCTGAAAAGAAATTGGCCTGGTTCTTCTTTCATCAATCTTAATTTTCATTTGGCGTCTTTATCGTTTTTTTTTTCTTTTCTGATTCCAACCTCAACCAAAATAATTTCTTTGATTTGACTCTGGTGTTTTGTTTTATTTCCAATCTCTTTTGTTATTTGACTTTGCTGCTTAGGCCTCTTTGGGCCTCCGTTTACCCCGCTCTGCACTCTACTCTTGCATATTTATATATGCCAGGGCAGGATATATTTATATCAGCTCACAATAGGTGGCCTGGAACGTGTGTATGGCAGGTGTTAGCCACGAATAGGCGATGATGAGTGTTGGGGGGGGGGGGGGGGCATCCCGGATATGTTGAATGAATGTGGGGATACGATTTCGGAATGCAGGATATGACAAGGGGTTCTCTCTTTTGTCACCCTCTCCAGCACCAATTCTTTTCCCATCCATCTCTTTCTGCTGTATACATTAACCAGACATTCGGTCTTTTTTTATTTTTCTTACTTTTTTCCTCTCCTCGGTTCCGTTTCGGGCAGACATTTCGGTTCCCATGGTTCGCATCTTGGTGATATCGAAACTTACGTATCCCTTTGAAATGGAATATTCCTTGTAACGGATTTGCCTTCGTTTTTCCCTATTACAGTATCATCGCTTTATAGGTTTTCTTTACTCCTTCCTTATCTTCATTTTTCATTTTTCGTTTTCTCTTATCGGCCGGTGTTTATTCTTTCTTTCTTTTTTTTTGCATGGGGCTAAAATTGGTGTGCATGGCATATGGTTAAGTTTGTTGTGTCGCTGGGTTAGGTTGAGTTGGATTGGCTTATGCTGAAGCCGTAGGCTGAGCTTATGATAAACAGGGCAACTGTCCGGGGCGTGGTCGGGGTCGGAGTTGGGAGGGTACAAAAATGGAAAAACAGATATGAAATTTTTATTTTATTGCGTGCAACTTTCCGACCCATCCATCCGTCTGGCTGTCTGTCTACTTTTTCCGTCTGTGTCCTGTTTGTCTGTTTGCTTGCTTTGCGTGTCCACTTGGTGCGTCATTGGTGGTCACTCGTGGAAAGTATGGTCTTGACGGGTTTACCTTAGCTGGGGTTTGGTTTAATTCCTGGCGATGCGGGGCCGTTTACTGTTTCTGGGGGGACTGGAGGGTAGGCCTTGGATAGAGCACGCCGGCATCGTATCATACCATTCGTAGTCGTCTACGGGTATTATCGACCGCTTCCGGCAGGATATCATCCCCGATCTGTGTTCTTGGTCTTGGATTCTGACAACATACTTATGGTGTACAGTACGATACAGATATTCTATTATTATTGTTATTGTCATTATTATTAGTTTTACCTGTTAGGACCCAAGGTGTTTATCAAATCGGCTCTTTTTTTATATATATAACTCGTATCGTGTCGTCATTCTTACGATTCGGTAATCCCAGGAGGGTTCCAAGGACACCTTTTATTTTTATTACCTTTCATCTCCCTCTTCCCTATTCAAGGTATGATATGTTATTCTAGGAATACATGGTATTGCACTGTATTACTCGGGGGGTTTTATTGTAATATAATTCTCATTCGTATCACTATAGAACGGATTTGTAACGTTTTTTCTCCTCGTGGAGTGAGTGCGAACGGATCCGGACGGTGCACTTATTTATACACTAATGAATGATTTGAATTTGGTATGAACTGGTAAGTTAGTGGGGGTCGATACGCTTCGCATTCCATGGATTGATGAAGTGGTATCATGTTGCACCACTTTGTCCGAAGGAGCGGTAGGCCGGGTGAAGAGAACGAACGCCGCCCCACTCGGGAACCACTTGCGCCCCCCCCCCCCCCTCCACCCCAGTTTCTGGGAGCGGCTGTGTGGGTGAGTGTTGGATCAGCAAGGGATGAATTTCTGAGCGTTGTTTGGGTACCCCAGTGGCTGTTTGGTAACACCGTAAACCACGGCTAGAAAACTGACCAGTAGGAGGCTCTAAAACCCGCATATCCAGGCCTTATCATTGGTCAGTTTGCCAACCATGGGGGGGTTTTTTTTTTTGCCGTGTTGCCAAACAGCCCCTTAGCTGCTAAGCAAGGTGTTGCCAGTAAGGAACCTTTGGGCCCGCCAATTTCTGACCTGGTGGTGGTGCTAGCAGGGGTAATAGAGGCATTGGTAGATTCTCGGGTACTAAAAATTTCGTAGAAGATTGGACCCTAGTTGCGAAACTCGCTTTCTATCGTAGCTGTGGCCGGTGTTGTAGGCGAATGATTGGTATTTCTCTGTGTGGGGACTCACGGATCCTCACTCGACTGTATCTAACGGCTGGACTAGGGTTTTGCGTGGGATGGGATATATATTGTAGCACGGTGATTTCTAGCGAGCGTGCAAGACGGCGTGGTCCTGGGTAGTGATAGCCTCGGCTGTTGAATATTGTGCTATTGGGACTCATTTGGGGGGGGGGGGGGGAGCGGTAGCTTGTTTCGGGGGTGTCACTGTGCTCCTAACGGGTTCTCGCATCCCTAACTGACCCACCCACCATGCCTTATTTAAAGGGATCGCAGTTCATGAGTTTCGAACTGGGAAATGAATCACTTTCGGGTTATCATAAATTTACTTGTTGATGGTTGCACAGAACGATTCCGCACCCCTTTGAAAACTCGGGTTAGGTCGTCAGTTACCCCCCTTGGAGAATCGAGATCTGGGATCGTGGGCTCGCATAGCATGAAATAAGAATCCCCCAGTTATATATCTAGCTCCCATCAGCTACCACCCATTGAAGAGATAAAAATGATAGGGTGCGAAAGTGGATTATGCCATGAATCCGGTATTGGTTCTTTGTTTTGCCAAGTCCTACATAGAAGTGTTGGTAAAAAAAAAGACAAGGATTACACTCATTAGAGGTCTGTGGTGGGAGGTGTTGTTGTGAATGAGGAAGAAAGTGGTGGGAGTAAGTTGTCTCATATAGACTGGGCCAATATGATTGCCTCCTCCTTGAGGGAAAATATTAAGGGCAGTTAAGGATTCAGGGCCCAAAATCATTTTTTCACGGCCCGTGTGAGATGGTACCGTGCTGCCGCGCCCGCAAATTTCTCATATCCCTCCCTAAACCCTATAAAAATTTCTATTAGCAACGGGGTGGGACCCTTCCGGATGGCGCTCCCCTGATAAGTTCTTATTGAACAATAGAAAGAGGGAGATAGCGAAGCGTTTCCCAGGGTTCGCACTAATTGGGAGGGTGTGGGGGCTTTTCAGGTGTGGATGCACAGGAGGGCAGACTATTTTTACAAGTCATGTAGTATCACTCGGGATGAGTGGGTTCGTTTTTGTTGTACTTGTAATATCACTTTGTTCAAGAGTAGAGAAAAGACTTGTCATCCATCCCATCTCCTGCGAGAAGGGAGTATTAATATACTACATGAGTTTAGCAGTCACTTTGAACAGCGTGTCCTATATCATGCAAGCCAGTTTCCCAACAGGACCTACTCGGACCATCCAGCTCGGTATCCCCATACCAAACAAATCCGATGCGGTAACCATCTAGTAATGGAATCCTGAGAAGCCACATTTTCCAACAGTTTTTTTTTCTGAATTGACCAGCGTATTGTATTATACGAAGGATGTAAGTAGGGGCTTAAGTAAATCGCTTCTGTATCCCTCGAGAGCCTGAAGGACCTTCCCTAGTAGGTGCGTACGGTACGCCAAATCCTACCCTTGGAGCGTTGGTTGCGGCAGTGCGGAAGCTATAACAGAGCTGTCACACAGGGCGCTATGTAGTCGACAGTTCTGGAGTTGAAAAAGGGCCAAAAACGACGCAAAAAAAAGAGCTGCCTGGTCCCTCTGAAACAAAAAAGAACAGGAAAAAACTCCAGACATTGCGGGATGGGACCGCTCTAACTGCATGGCACTCAGTTCGATTATTCGAGCTTCTACCGTAATTGATACTGGTTCCTTTTGGTACTCGCGCCAGCTCTTTTTCCCCATAGTTGCCTAGGGAATTCCATTGGGGGGAGTTTTTATAGCTACCTGTCCATCCAACTATTTAGACAGCTCTCAAAGCAAATCTGTAAGCCATAGAAGAAAAGAGTGGAGGGGGAGTAAAGAGGTGAGAGAAAGTGCGGGGGACATGATAAATTCGATATCCTGTAAAGGAAGCTCTAACTTACCACTAGGAAATAGGGATCAGCTAAGTACAATTGTGCTGTGTGATTCCCGCTGGGGCAGCATTACACCCCTTATACTATGCCGGGATCTGTGGACAAAGACTCACAAATATAGACTATACCGAGGCAGAAAATGTCTGTACTGGGTTCGAACCTGTGTGTATACACATATTCCCACCTTTCTTTTCGGGATCTCCAAGTTGGATCCCGAGGACAGACTTCTGGTAGGAGGTAGGGGGCAGCAATTCCGACGAGGGGGTGTATATCGCACTCCAAGGGAGTTTGTACGGGGGTTAGAGAGAGTGGTGAGTATGATAGCTCGGCAAGGTTTTGCGAAGGTAACCTGCACTAGATCTCGAGCACCGTTAGGAACGAAGATCATGCCTCTCCTCCTGAAACTGAGCTAGGTGCTGCGGTTTTCTGCGTATATTCTGTCCCCTTGTCACTTCCTGCTGGCAGTAGTGAGCGGGATGGTGCCTCTGCTTTCTCGGATAGGACTGTCCCGTTCCCCGCCCAGTTCCTTTATATCCGCTCTCGATAGCCCACGAAGGTTCTGTTCCGTCCTATTTGTCTCGCCCGTCGGGGCTGGTACTTGCCCCCAGCAGTAGATCCACTATTCCTTCGTTCCCATTCTTAGCAGCGTGCGATACTGGTGCTTGGCCGCCATTATCTACGTTTTCAAGCCTGACATCTTCTCGTACCAGCAGTGCCCTCACCGTTCCCTCATTTCCATTCTCTGTAGTGCATGACAGGCACGTTCAGGCCTATCCACAGTACAAATCAGACCCGGTACCTTGCCTTCCCGGAAATAGTGCCATCGCCTCCTCATTCCCATTGCCGGTAGTCTAGATGAGTGATGAAACGCTCCTAAGAGCCCGTTGGTTGCTATCACCGCCTTTCATATATGTCAACGTAGTCTCCGTCTCACCGGTTCCAGAGAAGGATACATAGTGTAGTTTAGTAAACGAAGAAACAACTCAGAGACTGGGGTATCTGCGGAGCTGCATCACGAGTGACCTAGCAGGTATGTAGTCGCGCCTGCCGGGGCCCCTAGCGCGGGTGGGTTTACCCGACCCTATATGGCATCCTCCCGTGGTTTCCCTAATATCTAGAGTAATGTTGGGAAGTGTTGTATCTTGGATCTAAGGGACGGGATTGCAAGAAAGGCCATTAGGGTCCCGGGAACTCAGACAGGTTAAGCAAGTCTCCGTGATGGTATAGCGAACTTGGTTAAAACGGTCAGGGTTGAGAGGGAATGTGCTCTCTGTGGATGAGGTGAAGAAACCAAATAGTCGGACACTCCTTATCCGTAACGGAAACTGAGAAGAACTTATGGTATTATGGGGGGATGAAACGGAAAGCGGCCGTGTTCAGGATTACTGAGCTCCCGATACTGTGCCTGGGGAGCCCTCAACACAGCCCCTTTACTCACTGAAGACGTGCAATATTCCCGGCAATTCCAGAAGAGAAAAAAAGACATTCTCGAGCCTCCTGTTTTCTGCTAACTCCGCTCAGCTCCTGGCGGTGGCTTCAGCGCCCATTGTTGACCCGGGATAGCACATCTACACTATTCCCGAAACGCCTTAACCCTGGAACGGTTTGGGACTGTTGGCCCCGGGTCTCTTGGACATCACCATTTTCATTAACGCCTGCCAGCGGGATGAAGCGAAAGATCTCCAATTTGAGAGGTCAGGCAGAGAACTATATTGTGAGTTAATTTCTTTGGGAAAAATGGTTCCCGAGAATTTCTCGGCATTTACCTTTGATTCGAACGCTGTAATTGATTCCGGATTGGATATACTCCTCAAAAGATGACAGAACCACTCTTTATGTTACGGTACACTTCACTAGCTTTTGGGAAAAGCCTACCCGGGTTTTCTGTACTCGAGTAAGGCGGCCAAGCGGTATTAAATTTCTGCAAGATCTCGGAGGCCCGCCTTTCCCAGGAGTTTCCCCTGCTATTGCCCGGGAGGCTCATTATCTCCCCGGCGGACGCCACGGGCGGGTGAGACGGTCCCTGTATCAACTGAGTGGGGCTTGGTCTTGAGATCTGATTTGTGCTAGGAAACTGCACTTAGTTTAGTCCTACACGGCAGTTCGTGCACAGGCGCGATCAACATGTGAATGTATAAGAGAAGAGTGATGATATGTACGGCTTGACCTCGGTTGGGTATCGTGCGCATCACAAGTCCGCCGCTAGAATTTATTCGCGGAATTTTTAGGCTCCTACGGCAGCGAGTATTTTTTTTCCGGAACCGGTGGGAAAGGACAATTTTCTTGCTAGAAAGGGGGCTTTGGGGGGTTTCTTGCTTCGCGGGTGGTTAGGATAGAGCCGTATCGGAGAGTCCCGAGATAAAGCAATTTTGCCTAGTGTCATTGTTAAGAGAGACCGGGCTGTCAAGCTGGATACCGTGAATATGAAATCCAGGCATGGAATTTTCTTAGAGTAGGACCCCTGGTGATAATTAAGGCTGTAAGAAAGTCTCGTGTTATCAAGTGCAGGTATGATATGATATGATAATGTTCCTAATTAATGATCGATCATAATAATAATATTATTGTGTTACATGGCCACTTTGCGCCGGGACTAGAATATGGAGGTTTTCTTTAGTTAACTAGACGCCCGAATAGTTTCCAAGTTCAAGCCTGAAATTATCTTGGTAGGAGAACCCGGGAAGGAAAGTTATATCATACATTTTGGTCGCAGGGGAATGGCTGGGCTATGTTATAGCATATTCTCTACTCGGGATAGCCCTGTGAGCCCGGACGCGCCATACCTGTCAGCCAAACTGATTTATGTGTTTTTACGTGATTGGGGGGTGACTGGCTACGAGGCCAATTTATTAGGTAAGAGCCTGGAGGAGAAGATTATCAGAGAACGAGGCTTTGCCTGCCGACTTGTCTGTCCTGATCACGAGTGAGTTTTTGTGACCACATATGTGGCTATTAAGATACATCACAGCAGAATTATTGAGAGGCTCAATTTTTAGGGTCACGCGATGACAGGAAAACTAGGAGAAATTTCTGGGCCAAACTTTGGATAAGCGTGGCCATAATTCGTAGAGCTCCAGGGCGGTGATCCTAGGTGTTCAGATTGCCCTTGCTGGGATAATGCGTTGGTATTGTGCATGACGAGATATGTCTGTATTTTGTGCTATGTAAGTAAGGATGGAGATGCCTTGTATCTTGAGCGCGGATCAGCAGTTGTAATTGACTCTTGTACAGGTATAGCCCAGTGAGTTAAACCGCAGGCGATATTTCCCTCTCCCGTCAAGGCCGCCAGCGCGGGGCTAGGCGTACCTCTGGGGCAGGGATGGCAATTGATGCCTAATCTGCTGACAAGAGATCATAAGAGTATCAACAACCACAAGCACATCTCAATGACCACACATAAAGCACCGTGCGGAGCACTCACACACAACAAGATTATCGCCGCTCACCGCCTTCATCGCGGGCCGGCAATAAGGACCCGAGAGCCTGCAAGCGCCGGGGCCAAAACTCCCGTGTTGTTCTCGCCGCCCCCATGGAACTGTATCATTGGCTAGCCAACGCTTCTGCATTGCCCCAATCCCGGCTGCTTGCAGCACGGAATCCGCTGGCGACGCCGCGGAAGCAGGGGGGACTATACGCGGGCAGCCTACCCCGCCGATAGGGCGATGTCGAAGAGCTTGGACCGAAAATGAGGCACTTTTTCTTTTTCTTCCTTAAAAGAGGGGGGGGGACGGGTAGTTCGCCAATTGGGTTTTGGATCGGGAGCTGGCCCATTCCCCTGAAGGATTCCTCCTCGCAGGTGAAAATGCGGGTGGGGCATTGAGCCTGCATCCGGCCGAGTAAGGTTATCGCATCACTCCTGTTGCCGGCGCTCGCCTGAGGTGCCTCTCAGCTACGAAATGACTAATCCGGGTTGTGCTGAGATGCCTACAGATTGCCTAATGGGTTAGGGCACTGGTGCTTGCGTTTGCGGAATGCCAAAATAGAATTAGTATCTGCCTTGTTCATAGTGTGTCACTCGATGGGACATCTTGGCGGGGTGATTGGACTCCAAGGCACTCGTAGACATGGATTAACGGCACCGGGCATAAAAGACGCAAACTTTATACCAGTATACCACGAGCGCGCCCGTGGTTTGTCAATGGTCAACCAGATACTTCAAGCAAGCTAGTACAACACGGGAAACTTGTTCAATTGTTTATGAGCCGGCCGGTAAGGAACATGCGCAGGCGCTGCACATTGCCATCGGGCCTCATATTGGCTGGCCGCCATTAGACATTCTCCCACTTTAACTCCATAGACTGATTTACGGCATGATGACAGCCGGTTGTAATCAGCGCCAAGGCTATCAGAGGAGAACCTCCCGGTTTTCAACAAGTGTAAGGTGGAGCAGGCATATGTTCGATTCCACCTCGATCCATAGTTTTTGAGGAATATTTTTAATAGCTAAATCCTATGAAACCCCTATTATTAAGTCAACGTTGCAATAGCCTTTGTGCAGGTCATAACGAGACTGCCGTCATCATAATATTATCATACAGAACCAGCACTTCCATAGGGCACAACTACTGCATTCGTGAGTGGCCCCGTGCCATATGGGAATCTCAGATATAAACAAAAACAAATAAAACAAAAACCTAGAGCTAACGAAACTAATACAAGACATCGATAGTGGGTGTTATTTCCCAAAAGCAGGCCTTTCGTGGATCTTCTAATCTCGAGCAAAGCGAAACCTCGGCTCGAATCGCACCCTCCGCTGCACTGGTACTGCTCGAGCGCTCGACGGTGACACTCGCCTGCGTATTCCGCTTGTCAAATATCTTTTCCAACGACAGACTTCGGAGCAGAATGATGCTCGTGTGTTCGTGGCTCCAGTTCCAAGAGTGCGGGGAAATATCATGGAGATCTTTCTCGACGTTGAACCATTCCCAAGTCCCGGGAAGGGGGAGACTGAGCCTGTGTCTGCGTTTAAACAGACATGATGTTTATCCAATTGACGGATGGCCTTTGCGATATCTATTGGCCGGCCACCTTAACGATGCGATAAAAAAGAGTTAGCAGTGGTTTAGGAACCCCTGAGAAGCTTGAAATTTCTTTTCGCTGTGGTCATGCCAGCATTGGTCGATGGCGATCCGGCGCATACGCTCGGTAAGTTACGTGTCCGCTTGGCGCTTTTTTTCACAACACCACAAAAGTTCACTTTTTCCGTTGGGCTCCTCGCATTGGTAATTTATGAGTGGCTCCGCCCGCGACGGCATGTCGGCACGCCTGTGCTCTAAGACAGTCCGTTGTCTAAGGGTTGACCCAACCTCGCCAAAAGGCTGCTTTCGCCTTCCCCTAGCCCTATCAGGGGGGAAGAGCGTGTGACGATCACTCGTGTCTGCATGGCAAAACTGGGATACTCGAGGATGTGAATTTGATCAATCGTGGGTGGGCATGATTCAGAGGTCCCCGGGGCCTGGTAATTTCTGATTGGGTACACCTACCTAACTCGGGTCGTGCGTTGTAGCTTCTATCTTATATTCTTCGCCCGCGTCAGGCTTGGAGATCAATCAGGTTTGGTCAGCAGCGGGGTGGAAAAGGAGTGCCTTCGCCCGATCGGATGGATATTATTGTGCAGTATTCAGACGCCAACTCTGATCCCTCTTAACTAAGACTACTGCGCGTCCATGGTGAGAAAACCCTCCGCTTCTCAACGAGTTGAGAGCTGAGAAACAAGTCTCTCAGGAACTGACCGTTTGAGGATACACACTAGTGAGACGGTCATCCGCCTTGGGGAGAACAACTGGAAATTATTTCCCAAAGATTTTTCTTTTCAGTCGCGAACTTCGTATGATAGCTTGAGATGGCGAGGTAGCTACATCCCCGAGGCTGTATAAGAACTAATACTAACATCAGTGTTAGAACGGATAAATCCTCTACCCTCACGCTTGCCGGAGCGGGGGACCGGCTATCAGATGCGAATAAATATATCCATCATTTACTCCAGCTAACACCAAAGGAGCTGGAAGGGTTGGACCCCTGTGAGAGAATCAGGGCATTGGTGGCTCTATCAGGGGCCGGTGAAGAGGAAGCGGTACAGCAGCTTCTAGAGTTAGGAACCGATGTCAACCTTTCGGCAGAACCCCTAGGGGTGACACCATTACAGAGTGCAGCAGCCATTGGTCATCGGGGAATTGTTAACCGACTACTAGACGCTGGGGCCGACGTGAACTATACGCCCCCCGGAAGATCGGCAGCCCTGACAGCATTACAAGAAGCGGCAGCCGGAGGACATATTGATTTGGTGATAGATTTGGTGAGAAGCGGCGCACTTATCAAGAATATACGCATGACAGAGGACATGATGCCAATACATTGGGCGGTTATCCATGGGGACCCGGTATTATTGGAAAGATGGCAAGCTCTGGGAGCCGACACTAACGTCGAAGATTCAATGGGGAGGAATCCTATACATATCGCCGCTCTTTCGAACAAACCGGAAAACCTAAGATGGTTGCTCCGGCCGTGCGGGTTTCTGAGCAGTACCATTGCAAAGAATGCGCGGGACCTTAATGGATCGACCCCATTGCATTTAGCGATTGAAGGGGGATGTTTTGAAGTATTCCAATGCCTTTTGAAGGAAGGCGCCAACATCGCAATTCAAGACAACAAGAAGCAGAGACCTCTCGGCCTCGCACTGTCAGGAAAGAAACCCGATATGGTAAACGGGTTGCTTGGGGCGGGCGCATCTGCTAATGGAATAACGGCGAAAGAATGGAGCAGGTTGTTCAGGGTGGGCGAGGATACTGAAGGTGATGACGACGAAGAGGAGAAAGGCCTGGTTTGCGGCGAGGGAGAGGACGGGGAGGTTATCGTTATAACTCGAGATCATGAACGTGTCAAACCTATTGAGTGTGTCCCAGGGATTGAAGCTGTTGATAGGGTGAAATATGGATACAAGGAAGCAAATACCCGACTTTTGTAAGTGTATTTCTTGAGATACGATAACATTTTCGGAGCTGAATAGTTGACAATATGTAGTTCTACTATACAGCTAACGAAGTCATCAGAGGCGGACTTATATAATCCAGACACCATCATTTCGGAGAGCCCAAACTTCCTACTACCGAAAAACAGCCATATGGAGAGTAAAGCCTCCGTAAGATGGACGTGGCGTTCAATCAATCAAAGTGACCTATTCAAAAACGTCAAAAACGGTGACCGTGTGCAAGACGGATTCCCGGGGCTGGAAGACTTGAAAACTAATCCTTCAGTGCATGGTAAGGGTGCCAATTCAGCTAAGAAGGTTCACCCTGCTAAGGCGCGAAAAGTCAGTCTGAGGTGCTTCGTGAGCTTTCGATACTTCCGAGTACTCTCCTCGGACTCTGCAGGGCTCGATGGCTCCTTTCCTATGAGGGCGAAATACAGTCGGATATCCTGGGTAATGGAGAGCTTGAAGTCACACCACACGGACATCGACGGGCGGGGGGTGAAGGACGTTGTCCCGATTCTCAAAACAAAAACCTACATCAGCACCCTGAAGTGCGGCTGGGTACCCGCGCACGGCGTCGAGTTCTTCACCATGTTCGTGCAAGAGCTACTGCCGAAGTGGGCGAAGCTCATAGACGCGGCCGAACTCCATCTCTCTGGTGTGGTGAGTATTCTCTCTAAGTCCAGCACTCACCCATCCACAATCACCCTGAAATTTCTTTTTTATGACCCTCAAGTGCCATAAAACGGATATTGGCTAAGACATATATCCCGCGTTTCTTTTTTGGGTTTTCCCGCTCTAGCGCGAGAACTTGTTGAAAAGCGGCGGTGAAACGAACGACCTGATAAAACCTTTGCTAAAGGATGCCCAAAGTTGGATTATGCTGCGCAAACTGCTGCAGGAGCACATCCAAACCGCGTCGGAATTCCTGAAACTGTACGAGAGCGAGGACTTCCTGCGGGAGGAAGTGGGAGTCTCCGCTTATAAGGACAAGATCCCTAAAATATCCATCAGGGATTCCGGACTCCCTTTAGAATCGCCGAGGGTGCTGGAGTACTTTGAGGACTCCACACTGCCCAAGCAGAATGCCTGGCCCGCGGGCAAGCAGTTGCGCAAGGCAATCAAGGAGTTGAAGAATTGCACGCCGAGGATTAATGCTTTGGATAAGGATACCAAGACTATGATTCAGCTGGTAGGTTTTTGTCACTAGAGGGGGCGTATGTTACTAACCTCGGTTTCTGTAGCAATTCAATCTAGCATCGATATACGAAACACACAGCATGAAGCGGCTGAGTTGGATTACGGTATTTCTTCCAAATCCTCATTCTTTAATCAAGCCGAGAAGACTAACCTCAACCAGTTTATATTCCTCCCATTAACATTCATAGCGGTAAGCTCCCCCCCCCCACCCAATTCACTCTCTAAGATTCATCATACTAATTAGCCTCACTAAATAGAGTTTGTTCGGAATGAACGTAAACCTCCTTGATGGCAACCCCGACTGGTGGTGGTACATAGTCCTCAGCGGGGCGACACTGGGCCTTGTACTCATAATATGGATAATCGTCAAGAACATCAAAGTTTGTTCCACCTTGCCCCTCGCTATGCTATTTATCTCAAGTGGGGCTAACAAGCGTATAGAAATGGCGGAAAAGGGAGAGAAAGCGAAAGAAGGATATAGAAATGGGTGATGTGGTGTCTGATAAGGATAAGTTGCATTAGGAGCTTATGATATGATGGATGGTCTGGCGATGAGAATGTGGGATGAAGTGATGCGTGGAGAAAAATACGAATGTATGGGCTAGAGGCATTGAATTAGATTGGATGGGACAAGGAATCTCGTAACATTGTACAATATAGTTTCCCTTTTTGGTGGGAAGGGATTCTCAAATTTTGGCACCATTTTAGTTTTGAACTTCGAAATCTACAGTAAACGAGTGCATTACTCAACCGCAGCATCCTTCGAGAAGGGGGGAAAGGGAAAGAAAAGAGAAGAAAATTCAACAAGGATATTACCGCCCGTCGGCTATCATACTTCTACTAGCACGCTCCTTCGAAATACCTACAAAACCCCCAAGGCACCCCCAATCTCATCCATAGCCTTCGCCAACCACCCCAAAATCTCTTGGTCGCCCTGTGCCACTGCAACACACTGACTAAGTAGCGGTAGAAGTTTGAATAGATGTCCCTTTCCGGATGGGGGCATATGTCCCGCTACCCTTTTATCAGTCGCTCTGCTTCGAGTGATAGGAGGAGGGGAGGAAGGAGGCTCACAGTCGGTAGAAACCGTCTTCACTCTGGAATCTAGATTGACAAGACGCTTGAGTACATATATCATTTCTTTGCGCTGACATACGGGTTGAGGCATGCGGCCGCGGAGGGGTTGGTCCTGTTTTTCCATTTCAGGGTTAAATTTACTAGTGTCTAGGGGGGGGGGGTTGATTACTGAAATATAGTGCTGAAAAACACGCCCAGCCCGCAAGACCAGATACGGTGCAGAGGCTACCGCGAGACGTTGGAGTTCTTCTGAATCTATCATCTTTGTTAGCAATATCCTAAAAAGCTGGATGGGTTGAGTGAATACTGGAATCATTCACAGCCGCCAAGGCAAATAATTCATCAAGGCAAGCGTAGCCCATCCGAGACCTCCTGACCAATTCCAATTCGCTAGTTTTCCCATGTTCGCATATGGAAAGTGAAGATAGACTTATATCTGTCGAGCCCGGATGCTCCAGTTCCACAATATCATAGAGAATGGAAGACTTGAATATGCTCTTCATATATGCCTGTACTACCTCGTCTGGAACAACCGCACGGCCGAGCGGGGGGACGACCATGCCCCGGAATTCCCGGAAGGACGATATGTCAAAGGTTTCGTCGGAGACCAGTGTCGCCTCGTCGATATTCGTAGGATTCGCCGAGACAACACCGCCGATTATTTCGACTATCAACTTCCATACTTCTTTCTGGTGAGCCTCGCTAATACTTAGTTCGCTAATTGCCGGAAGGACTTTGGTAATTATTGATAGGGCGGCTTTGGTCGCCGGAATCCACTGCGACGGGCGTTTCGCCGTTGCTGATGAGGCAGCACGGGTGAAGTCGTATTTTAGGGAAATGGGGAGTTTTAGAGCGGACAGGACTGATGATAAGGCGCCCGTTGTGTAGATCTCGCTGTTCTCCACATGGCGAGAGCTGACGGCTTCCAAGATGTTCATTGATTGGGTTGCTAGTGCAATGTAAGATGGAATCCGGACTTTGGTGGACTGTGGGGTATGCGGTGGTCGGTAAGCAACCGTACTGAGGTCCGCGACTTGTTTCAACACCAATGACGGAATTCCGGGGATATCTGTTCGCATCATCTGGATGACTCCCAGTATGGCCGCCTGTAGCGGGGTAAGGGTGTCAGTGTCCTGGAAATATGCCGGCGCATCCGGGAAGATAATGCATTCCCATAATAAAGTCAGTATTTTGTCCACCATATCCGCGCTTATTGCAGGCTCGAGTAATCTATAGAGTGGCTTGAACGAGTCGACATACGCCAAGAGCGTCTCTTGAATCCCGGCCCGAGAAGTATCGATATTTCCTTCCACCAACTTGACGCCCTGTCCTGACCACATCTTCCAGACGTCCTCAGTTGAGGGTGGGTCGAGATTTCCTGGTCCATCAGCCTTTTCCAGGACGTGTTTTAAGACTGCAAATACGGTCGTATTGACTTCAAGGCTCCGTCTTTTTAACAGGGCTTCTAGGTAACGGATGAAGACACTCCAAGTGTTGCGGAATTCCGACTGTTTAGCAAAAACTTCAAAGTAGTTTGAGTATAGTGTGCCAATCCCATTGAGAACGAGATTGATGGTATCGTCCCACTGCTTTCGCTCAGCAGCACGAATCTTCGGGACATCGCTCTCCTTCTCATCATTAGGGGTAATATTCATCATTTTAAAAACCACAATTTTTAGACACGAAGACCAAGCTTGCGGGCTGAGTTGATGCCCGTAAGTATCGAATATCCGGAACAAGGTCTGGACCGAGCCTAGGAAATAAAATTGACTGTAAGCTACAACTCCCGCGGCCAAATAACAGGCACTCACCATTTCTCACTTCAGCTCTTTGATCCTTACTGACTCCTGTCAAACGAAGTAAAAGCAGCATCCAAAGGGCAGGGTGGGAACCCGAATCTGTTTGCTCCACCATATCTAATAGGTCCTTTTCGCTCTGTGCTTGAGAGGATAGAAGTTCGCTTGAAAGTGAGGACTCTCCCTTGGTCTGTAAGAAATCTGAAACGTTCCAAAAGAAAGTAATAGTCTACACTAAAATCAGCAAATGAGACATCTACTGCTGACCGAAGGATAGATACCGTCAAAGAGATATTCAGGTCATCCTTCTGCCCACAAAACGCGAACAGTGCATCTATTAAAACCAAAACGCAAGATGTTGGCAAACTCGCCAAGAAATCAGAACAGATTAATTCTAAAGAACTAAATGAGCTCCGGATCAACTTAGGAGACCGGGTAGACTTTGCGATTTCGGCTGATGCCTCTGGAATTGTTGCACCCCGTCGCCAAATCATGGTAGAATCAAATACGCTCATTATGATATCAAACACAATCTCCCATCCCGCTATCAGCGACTGCCCAGAATGCTCTAATATGGCGTTCAACGCTTCCAAACCCGCACGATGTATCTCTAACTCTGTCGCTCTAGTTACTGAGTCCGAAGTCCCAAAGACCTTTCCATCTGTTACTCCCTCTCTTAATGCGGAAAGGATACGTTTTTGAACTTCTGCCATATTTTCCGTGCTCTCCGTCATGATCATCTTTGCGGCTGAAACTACAACTTCATGCAAGACTTCAGCAGCCTTCATGCGTATTGAGTTCCCTCTGTCCCGAGAATTGGTCACAGTAGCTAAATGGTTCGCAAGCATATCCCATCCGGAGGAAATAGGATTTGGCCCGGTCAATCGGCTCATATTTATCTGAGCTAGTTCCCCCAGCTTTGCAAGTGCAAATGCATTGTCTCCAATGACTTGCGAAGTTGAAGAGTTTGAGACACTGGACAGACGTTTATGGCTGAAGGTTGGTGATCGAGGAGATCTCTGTGGACTTGTCGACTTATCAATTGATGTCCGACTATTGGTCTCTCCGTCCCCATTGGAGAGCTTGCATAATGCCAAGAGTACTGCGGTGAATGCTTCGTCGGGGAAATCCCTTGTCCCTTCAAACATCTTCATCGCAGCGGCTTCGACGACGGACAATTCAGGCCCAATATTAGTTAAGGGATTACCTGCATCTGCCCCTTTTTGCGTATCGGATCTTGCTGCAGATGCGTTCAGCGAAATTTGCCTCCCCGTCTTCCTGGAAGACGCAAAAAGGACGTAATCTGCCTGCTGAAGTGTTTCCAGAACTATGGTCCATGACTTTTCTAATGTTGGGCCTAAGGCAATCCCGAGATTGAGTAGGGCCCTAAGACAAAGCAAATTGCGGCTATTAAGTGATGGGGGGTGGTGCTCGGTTCCGCCAGGGGTCGGTCGCTCGGAATTACCCGAGCTATCCACGCTCAAAAGGCCTTTTGCGTTTGAGAGCAGACTTTGATTGTCAGACACCATAGGAGAAGCTGAGATATTCGCCGATAAGACATTTGATGGAACTGCAGCCTTCCCAAGGGTTGTCAAGAATGCGTCTCTAGGAGTTGTGAGGTGTAATAGCCCAGCCACATGGGTGAACTTTTGGAATGACCTCACAAGGCCATGGTAGAATTCGTTATCAAGTGTGGCATAGAGAAACGTTGAACAAGCTGCCAGGACAGCGGGCCAACACGACTCCATTATTGCTGCGGATATAATGACCTCGTTGTAAAGAGGATGACCTTCCATGCTCAGCGGATTGGCAGGTATTCGGTGCTGTCTCATCGTTGGCTTTCTGCGGAGAGTGCCCTTGGTGGGTGACGGGGTCCGCATTGGTGACCCCGATCTTGTGGCAGGGCCGGATTCACTATCGCTCCCTGCTACACTGTTCGTCCGCACCATCCCCATAGACGATACTCGGGCCGGGTTTCTTCGCTTCGCTCCTCTTGTGGCGTCACTAGCCATGGATAACGGAAGGATGAATTTTGCTAAACCCTCACAGAAACTGTTTATACAGGTGAGTGTCAGACAATATATGTACGATTCCGGCGTCGCTGGGGGCTCGCTCTTGTCTAGTTGGTCAATGCACGGTACCCTCATCAAACTCCACTGAGTACTAAGCCCAGCCACATTTACCTCACTCAATCCTACAGCTCCGCCAATAATTCCAGCGACACCTCCGGCCTCCAATGCGGCTTGCTCGCTCGAAGAATCCTTCGGCACGGCCTGACCCGCAGGTGCAGAGGACTGCGTACCTAATCCTATGACACTGGGCTTTTCGGTAGCTAATCTCGTGAGAGTACCCATTAAATCCTTCACTATTGACTTTTTTCCTTGCTTGGCGTCATATTCTGCGAAAATTCTGCGGATAAGACCCGACTCCGCACAAATTCCTCGAAACACCTCCATACACAATGCCCTTTTCCATGGAGCAGATACCTCAGGATCAAGCATGTGGGTCAAAAGACTCAGCGCAACCTCACATTCTTCCGATAAAATTGAAAGGTGGCGCCGGAGCAGCATGTATAACACGCGTGTTATACGTACTGTAGTTGGGAAATTGAGACGGTCAGAAAGGGATCGCATTATTAATGGAGCTACTCTGGTCTTTAGGACATAGGCTTGCTCAGGGTGAGTAAGAAATATGGCAGGGTGATTTGTCAAAACAGACTCTATTAGCTCGAGCCCAAACGGCTGCGGCAAGACTGAAAACCGAAGGAATTGTGGCCTTTGTCCTTCGGTAAGAAGACAAATGTCAAAAAACACTCGGTAAGCATCAAGCGCCGCGGCTCGGAGAGGTATGGCTCCGCATTCCGAAGGACCTTCGCCCACAGTAGGGGCTTCCAGCGCTCTCTCTGCGGCGGTTAGTCTGCATTGACCAATTTTGCAATTCAAAGGTGAGCTATTCCCATACCATCTTCGGTTACCACTTTATCAAAGATCGAAATAACGATTTGGCTCAAGGCTAGAATAACGCCAACTTAGTCGAATACCGAGAACGACGAGCCGGGGTAACCTGGATAGCTTACTTGCAGCGGCAGTATTGTTCACGACGCCCATTTTACTGCCTTGTAGTATCGAGCATATTAGCAGGGCCTCGCCCAACAGGCTTCCTTTCAAATCCTCTGCATAATTCTGTAGAAGCGGAGGCAACGCCTGCAGTATCTTGAGCTGTATTTCAACACCTATGCTCGGATCAGAAGGGATATCTCTCGATGGGGGGTGCACTGCGCCAGATTCAGCACAAACCTAAATTAGCGGCTTCCCTGAAAGCTTCCAGGACTTCCTTTAACTCGGTCTCCCGGAGGTCAGCTAGATCAAAGTCCAAGATTCTCCATTGCCGACAAACCTTTGCCAGCCCCCGCGAGACAATCAACCGTTGCAAACAAACCACGCCGATAGTGCTAAATTTTGCATTCCGCGTGCTGCAGGCGATGAGAAACGGGTGTAAGAACTGTGGTCTCCCCGAAAGCTCTGAAGGAGCTCGTCAGCTCTCAAGACCGCGAATCCCCGAGAACGGGAAGCGTACCAATAGCGACATCTGTAGCTGGCCCTATCGACTTGAGATCTGCGAGGGATTTTTCGGCCGCCTAAGAAGGAATGTTTTAGTATCACAGTCGCAACTGGGGCAATAACCCTGTTGTAGAAACTGACATGTCTAAGATCCGAGTTCTTCCGTTTCGCCTCCTGAACCAGGTTGGTGAGCTCATTCGTGAGGAACTGAGCGGTCATCCTCGGGCCGGGGGTGAAGGGGGGGGGGGTCGAAACTGATGCTATTGCGGGCTGTTGAGGATCGGTTGGAAGTTGCGATCTAGAGGATCAATGAAATTGAGTAACCCTGAAATGGTAAAAGGGGTGTAAAACATTGGGTCGGGTACTCAATACTCTCTTGGAGGTTTAACTTAGTGAATCTTCACGGTTATCAGGGCAATCCCATGTCTGCTACGTCGCCATTGGGGTCTTCCGGGAGAGCCGCGTGGAACTGCAGGGAGAGATCCTGTTAAAGCCATCTCGGTTTCCCGTTCAAGCTAATGGGTCTCAGAGGTGTCTTGGCACCGCACCAAAATCTCTGCTAGGGATTCTTTGTCGGGAACATTTCTTCGAGGCCAAATCTAATTTGCTGCAAGATTATTCCAGTCCCGTTGGAGGGAACAGGATCTGGGATGGTGAAAGCTCCACTATTGGTAACTAAAGGACAAGAAGCTCGGGTGCAGGGCTGGATTCTGAGGACGAAGGGGGATTAATGGAACGGTGCTGTGGCCGTGCACTGTCCAACTAGCCACATCATCATGGCTAACGACGCCACTGGACAACTCCGGGCTAGTTTAAAATCTCAGCCTATCTTCCCCTCGTCTCTCCACGAACAAACCCCACCTTACTCCTGGCTTCGGACAACACCAGACAATTTGCTTTTCAAAGGAACTCATCCTAACTCAAACCACCTCTCAAAACTTTAACAACCCCCTTAGTCAGGATGGTCGCCAAAGTTCCCAGGAACTTTCGCTTGCTCGAGGAGCTAGAGAAGGGCGAGAAAGGCTTGGGAGCAGGTCAGTTTGCTCCCACTGTCCCTTTCCCCCAAAGTTGATACACAGCTGACACCGTGTTTCCCCAATGTTAAGACGGTTGCTCTTACGGTCTGCAGGATGGAGATGACGTGATGATGTCCAACTGGAATGCTACCATTCTGGGACCACCCCACGTGAGTTTCCTCGGCGCGCATCCCCAGCTACAAGCTTACTCACAGGTCACAGAGCACCCATGAGAACCGTATTTACAGTTTGAAAATACACTGTGGAGATTCCTACCCGGACGAGCCTCCAGTTGTTCACTTTATATCCAAGATCAATCTTCCCGGCGTTGATCCTAATAATGGCAGGGTTGGTATCAACCTCGACCCTAGCGAGATGTCGCTACTAACTTGTGCTCTTGAAAAGGTCGATCTGCTCAAACTAGGTCGTGTAAGCCAATGGAGCAGGGATAACACCATGGAGAAAATTCTTGTGGCTTTGAGGGAGTAAGCCTTCCTTGGATGTAGATGGAATGGATTGAGTTCCGTGCTTACAAGCTTTTGTCAACTTCTAGACACATGGCCAGTCCGAATAACAGAAAGGTCCACCAACCACCCGAGGGCACTACTTTTTAGCTTTCGGTAGGAGATGCAGCAATCCGATGGCCAAATTTTTTTTGCGGAATGGTTCAGGTTTCTCTCAGGCTTTACACATCGATAGTTTAGCCTAACACAGTATTCTCCTTTCACTATCACACTATTATAGGTGTGCGAGCTCCCTGGAGGTTTCTCGGTTCTGTGTTTAGCAATTTAAGCAGTTATCGCATGACTTCTGCTGTATGGGCTTGCGAAAATAGAGTTAAACGTGATGTCGGTAGCGGACTCTAGGGAGCCACGTTCTCTCGATCCCGTACCGGTGTCATATTCAGCATGGCAAACACTTGTACTATTAGGTAGATATTGGTGCAGTGGGACCAACTATCAAGAAGGTCCTGTGATCCTCGTTCGTTTTTTTCTTTCAGTTTTACAATTGCTTATCGTGATGACTCATAAATTCCGTAATATATGAGATACTGTACTGTACTAGTACGAGTAGTGTCAAAGAAACCTTGGCGGTGTTCTGTGCTGATTGGGGTCCGGAGCGCTTGCATCAAGCTGCTCAGGAAGCTCAACTTCATGCCAACTTCGATCCGGACGCCAGGAATCGACACTCTGACCGACAATTCAACGTAAGAGTTCTAGAGCTTTTCAAGGCTGCTCATCTCAATCCCTCCACCGCCAACTTGCGCCGGGACGGGTGAATTTCACGCGGCGGGTTCAATACACTTAACCCCATCCACCATGCCATCACCGCCCCGGCAAAAAAATCCCGGCGGAAATGCCAGCGGTAAGAAGCTTGTCCAGACCAAGTTAGATTTCTACCTTAAAGATGCTTCCTCACCGCCATCATCGCTATCATCTAGCGCAGAAAATCGAAGCGCAAACCCCACACCCGGGGCGTTTGGGAGGCGGTACATCAGGGAGGATTCGGCAGAGCACAAGGAGTTTGGAACTTCGGATCTAGGATCCCAGTCTCAAGGAACCGATTCTCAAGAAACGGGCGTGGAATCGGAATCACAATCTCGAGAGCGTGTACAGCAATCGCTTGGGAAATCGAAACCGCAGAATGCGCGGCATAGTCAGGAGCGGGTCGATATTGCGCGGGAGACCACGTATGTGTCGATTTGTATCACCTCCGCAAATGCTGACTTACTGACAAGGAGTGGGGGGTGCATAGGCGCTTCATACCTAGTGTACTTGCCAAAATCCCTGCAGCGCAGCGGCGGTCCTCATTATATACGGGCGAGGAATTTTCTCTTGCGGGAGTAGCTTGTCCGGAATTCACGTTACCGGACCCCGACCCAGAAGCTGGAAGAAGGGGTTGCCGGATTAAGGTTATTAATGGAGACACCTTTGACACGGCGATAGCTATGGGTAAGGACGTAGTAGTTCTAAACATGGCAAATGCACATGTTGCCGGGGGAGGGTGGAAGATGGGTGCAATGGCACAGGAGGAGGAGTTATGTTATCGGTACTTCCCTCCACCACACAAACGCAACCCTTATCACGGCAACCGAAGCTCATGGTTTTCTACAGCTCAACTCTTAGTTTCAAACTCCATCGTGCCTACTACCCCCTCCTAGATGTCGCAGGAATATACACACCGGCAGTTGTGGTCTTCCGATCTTCCCACTCCGACGGTCACAAACTCTACCCACCCAACATCAGGTACAAGACCCTCTCGGTAATCTCCGTGGCCGCGGTTCGTGACCCTCCTCTCACAGATAGCACACCACCTGACTACCGCCGCCCCACAGACCGAAACCTCATGCTCGAGAAGATCCGTTTGATATTGCGCATCGCTGCCAAGGAGGGGCACCGCAAGATCGTGCTCGGCGCATTGGGGTGTGGGGCTTTCCACAACCCGCCTGGGAGGGTCGTGGAATGCTTTCTCAGGGTCTTCAGGGAGCCGGAGTTTGCGGGGGGCTGGTGGAGGGAAGTCGTATTTGCGGTGCTGGATACAGAGAAGGATGAGGAGAACAAGGGGCCAAATGGGAACGGAAATTTCGGGGTGTTTTTCAGAGGGTTGCATGGGGTTGTTGTTTAGCGTAGGATTTGCTCTTTCCTCGTTGGTTTGGTTTTGAGCGATTGTGGGGGGTGTACCGATGTGCCCTTGCGGCAGTAACGGGATTGGATATTTTATTTGCACCATGAACCATAACTTCTTTCCTCATTTCTACTTTATTTATAGGAGAGCAACTTTAGAGAATCTGCGACATCTCCAGTGTGATGCCCGCCGATGTACAATAAAAGATATTCGGGCCATTTATGATCATTCCTCGGGAATTCTTTGGAAATCTTAGCTGAAACGGTGGTCAAGGATACCAAGTCGAGAAAGACAAATTAGTGTCTGCTAGGTAGATTGTTCTGCATCACAGTATAGCACTCGCGAGAAGGCCGAAAAAAAAAGCAACCCCTCCTTAAAGTGGACCTCGAACGATGAAATGGACGCGAAACGCAGACACCCACGAAACCTACACATACCGATCCTTTGTGGCGCCTACCGTATCCCTCTTTCCTGCCCTTCTATATCGTACGCCCGCCAGCGACTTCCGGTGATACGACGAGAGTATAGTATTTGATCGAATGGTTCACCATGTTGGTGTACGAGCACAGTACAGTACAGTACACACTCGACGTGAGAAAGGTCTTAGGAGCCGGGATCCGCTTTGTGCGGAAAGGGTGGAGAAAGGCCCGGAGGATCGGTAAAGGCCGCTTGCCTCGGGGTAGTAGATGGTGTTGACTAGTATTCCAAAAGGCGAGTCAGAGGGATGTCTGTGCTGTGCGCTGTTGTATGAGATCTGGGGCTATAAGCGGTTTGGTGCATCTTTCGGATGGGCTTTATTATACAATTTTTTGATTGGTGTACGGTTTTATAGATTTAATATACTAAAAATCACTGCGGGGTGTGTTCATTTTTTGTGGGGGGAATAGCTTCTGATACTACTTGTTGAAAGCGGTTGGAGATTTGCCGGTGGTGTGTGATAGGACTTGGAGATTGCTTTTTGTTCGCTGCTTGGGAGTGTACGAGTCAGAGAGGCAGAGTTTGGGGTTGGGTTTGTTATATACGATTGCCGATCGGTGTGAAAGTATCATAACCCAGAGTTTTGTGTGGGGCTTTATTTGCGTCACGATTTGCGTATCGTATCATACTGACCCACACACCCCCCCGCTCAATCCACTCTTCCCCGTGGCTTTACGGAATCAGAGCAGTGGGAGATTCGTGCGTTATCTATGAGTCTGGTAGTGCGCCGTAACCCCTGGTAGATTCTTTATGTTGTAAGCATCGATGTCTGATGGGTAGTGTACACGAAAAAGACCGCAGAGTGGGAATTAGTTTTGGGCCTTAGTGGTGAGACTGATTGATTGATTGATTGATTGGGAGTTTACAATTCCTAGCTTCGTTCTTGGCTCTATTTTTTTTTTTTGGAAAATTGAATTTGCGTGACCTGAGAACCAGGGATCGAGGGAAGTGCTGGGGATTCTCAGCTCTGGGGAGAGGATGTCTTGCGGGTATACAAATTATTTTGTTGGAAGGGTTTAAGGGATGTTTTGGATCCACCTAGTGCATAGTCTGGTCGTTCTCCCTATATAGTGACACCCGGGAATATGGTTCCCAAAACTATAGAACCCTTCATACCAGGACTATGGCCAAGCAGTATAACACCACAGTCCCAGCAAATTCTATTTTTCCCAGGTTCCCTAACTTGATTCTCCCTCCCTCCATTCGTGCATGTGATAGCCCTCAAGAGGGATATATGATATGATAGCATGAAGGAAGGGTGTAAAATAATTTGGTGCTGTGGGGTATGAACGGGCGATAAGTTCCTGAAAAGTTTCACCCGTAGGAAACATAGGTCTTCCTTCACATATTTTATGCAATCCAAAATAAGCCGAAACATTCCTGGGTTCTTGTTCTCTTTGGGGGGATTTCCTGCAGGTGCATTGACGGCACCGCCATGTGTGGGAGCGCCACGTTTAGATATGTGGCCAAAAAGGGAGGAGCGATAACATTCGTGACATACGATATCCTCCCGAACAGGCGTCGTGGGCTTGGGAATCGAGTCCGAGGCGTTGCGAGTAACTTCGGGTGAAGTGCGGGTGGAGTTCTCATGAGTGTTTGAATGATACGGTGCTTCGCCGGATTACGGACAGCTGAAGCTATACCGTAAATTACGGGCGTAAAGCATAAATTTATGCGCAATACTGGAAAGCGGCTTCTCGCATTATAATTTGATGTTGGGTAATGGTATACCGGCATATCTGTTTGCCATTAAGGTCCGTTTTGAGGAAAGTGCTGACAAATTAAGCTTTGTTATAACGAGTGCATTTTAGATGGCCGGTCTGCTGAGACCGGAGGCTAACTGTGGACCTATTTCCCTCTGCAGCCCCTCTATAACCCCACCCCCCCCTTCTGATAGCTCCATTAAGGCCGAAAGTGATTTGACACTGGCCTAAATAACGGTATCTAGCAAGTTTACGGTGGGTTAGTGTACTCTCTAGTATTATATCGTACTGTATAGTGTTATAACTTACCGCTTGGAACCAGGACCGGGATGAGTGACGGTCTGTGACGATATCACAGAACGGCTGGGGAAAGGTGATGATAACTGGGTTGCCTTCTTGAAGTTAATGGTCATCAAGGTTAGTAGTGTGAGAAAACGGAAGCAGAGCTATCATAAGCTTTTTTTCTTCCACTCGCAAGTACTGTGTTAATCGTACTGGTATACATTACGTTTCAGAGTACAGGATGCCGGGGGTGCCATCCATAACGTAACTTCTTTCAGAGGTACTGGAGATTTACGCTGCTGTCTTGGTGCTTAGTTGAGTGGTAAATGTTGGGCCCTGAAATACTCAAGACTGATAAAAGGCCACTGGTTCGCATATTAAACGTCTCCTTGAATTCTTGCATATGTAAGCTGTCGAACGGTATTTGGCTTTAGCGAACTTAGTCTCCGATCGTGGGTAGGATGTGGTGGATTGTGATGGACGTGAATTTCGCAGCATACCGGTAGAATGCTATGACACGGCACTGCGCTCCACGGTACTGTACGATCCAAATAAATATCAAAAAAGCACAACCCCTGTCTTCACGGAGCCTGACACGAGGCCGCGGGGGGAGCTCTCCAATCTATATCGACACTCGGAGGAACTGTGATGTGGTTCTCTTTGTTGGGCGATATGTAGGGGTTTCGAGTGATTCATTCATAAGGCTTGCTGTTATATACTGTACCGGTATATACGGAGTTGGCCGATTCTACTGCAGGCACTCTGGCGTTCGTTTATGATAGCCCAGCGCCGTGGGATAGGGTTTTCTCGGGTAAAGGGGGTAACATCTCGCTCAACTGATGAGGTACGAGTAGACACAGGCAGGGTGCTCAAAAGAAACTTGGGGGAGGTTGATTGGACAAGCCTGAGGGACTTGGATCCCTATGGTTCCACAAAAGACCCCGCTTTCTTCAGCCCCCAGGAATTCCAGTACGAATAGCCGACCAACTCCATCAAGCATCATACTCAATACTCGAGTACAGTACAGTATCATAACCCGCAAAAAAGGAAAAATGTCGCAGCTTTTCAGTAGCAATATCAACTCTTTGAACACCGTGACGACGACGATGACGGTCAACGTGTCGAATAACTTTTCTGTTGCCGATGACCGATCTGATATCCTAGCCTGGTTGTCGCCTCTAGATCCCAGGTTACGACATCAGGACATTCGAGAACGTCGAGTCGAAAGTGTGGGGGAATGGCTCTTACAAACCGAGGATTATAGAAGCTGGCAAGATGGTGATGGTAGCGGGGGAGGTGAAACCAATAACTCAGTTTTGTTTTGCTATGGAGACCCTGGGGTCGGCAAGACTTACATTAGGTAACGAGAACAAGCCTCGTGGAATGGAGGGAAATTGGCGAGTACTGACAAGCCGCGATGTTAGCTCACTAGTAATAGACAAATTGTGCGATCAGGCTAGGGGGCAGAATGTCGCAGTTGCGTGCTTTTACTTTGACTTTGCCGCCCAAAAGGAGCAGTCAACGGCGAACTTGTTGGGCGCACTGCTAAAACAGGCTGTGAGCGGGATGGAAGAGGTACCGGGGGGAATAGCGCAAGCCTACCAGGAGCAGAAAAAGGTTATTGGTGGACGGAGTCCTCTGCCCGCCGATATTATGAAGATGCTACAGATCATCACTTCCGAAAAGCCTACATTCATATGCATCGACGCTCTGGACGAATGCGTGCCGGAATATCGGGTCAAGGTACTGGGTTCGCTAGATCAAATCCTCCAGAGGTCCCCAGGAACCCGAATATTCATTACTGGAAGACCACACATTCGGGCCGAAGTGGGGAAGCGTCTTTCTCAAAGAGTAGTGAGTGTATCCATCACTCCCAGGAGAGATGATGTCATCAGATATCTCCGTACCAGATTGGATGAGGACACAATCCCAGATGCGATGGACTGTAGTCTCGAGGCAGACATTCTAAGGAAAATCCCTGAAGATATATCCGAAATGTATGTAGGGTCGGCGACGCTAGGGAGGGTATCTCGGATTATCCACTGACGGACACACATCTAGATTCCTTCTCGTCTCACTGAATATCGATGCGATCCTGCAAGAGACCACAATCCATCGTAGGCGGCAGAGACTCAACGCAATGACTGATGGTTTGGGGCTGGGGGATGCTTACGGTGCAACGCTAGATCGGATAAAGGGACAAGGTGAGAAGAAAGCGAGACTTGGAATGGCCACTTTGATGTGGATCTCTCACTCGGAGCGACCCTTGAAGCCCGATGAACTGTGTCACGCCCTAGCGGTTGAAATTGGGTCACCGATGCTCAATATCGACAATGTTCCTTCAATAGGGACATTGCTAGCCTGCTGCCAAGGCCTTGTTACTGTGGACAAGGAGGCTTCTACCGTGCGGTTAATCCACTTTACCCTTCAAGAGCACCTCCGGGCTCATCCCGAGCTTTTTGGTACAACTCACTCGATAATGGCAGAAACTTGCTTAAGTTACCTGAATTCTCAGCAGGTCAGGGCTCTTTCAGCCAG